CAATAAGACAAGATTTATTGAAAATGGTTCTTACACCGGTCTAGCTCGAGAAATGATATCCTCAAATCCCATCCGAAAAAAAAATTCAAAATTCTAGGGGTACTTTGGACTTAAAAATCTGTCTGGAATTCCAAACCCTAAAAGTTGCATTTAACAGTCGAGTGAAGTCCATAGATGCAGTGTTTCAAGCCGGTTTTAACGGAAAATTTAACATTGGTTCATTAATTATTAAACTTTGGTCCCACCTCCTGGAAAAGTTTTCTATATACTGAAATTGATGAGGTCTCAATTCGTAACTATGCTGAGTTTAAAGATCAACTTAAATTTCTGAAAGCAGTGAATGCATAGAAACATTTTCACCTTCTTTAAAAGCCCATTTCCAACCTTGATGCAACGCGGTCGTTTGTCTTTGTTTTAAACCACCGCTTTTGTTTAAATGTCGCCTCTGATTGGTCGGTTATTTTTACCTTGTCACGTCTCAAAATACCTTCTGCGTTTTCTCCAATGAATTTGAAGAGCTTGTCAAAATAATTCTGATTAAAACAGTTCAATACGTTTTAATCCGGAATGGAATCAGATGAATCCATTGATTTAGTAGTTTCCGAGGCAGTGAACGCTTATGGATCGGTTGTTGCTAAAGAGGAACATGAAAATCCTTACAAGAATTCGAAGAAGGTGAAAATGTTGATCCACCACGTTTTCATTCGTTCATTTTTTTTTTTAAATTGAAGTTTGAACGGGAGAACGGGGGAACGGGAGAACGGGGGAACGGGGGAACGGGGGAACGGGGGAACGGGGGAACGGGAGAACGGGGGAACGGGAGAACGGGGGAACGGCAGAACGGGAGAACGGCAGAACGGGAGAACGGCAGAACGGGAGAACGGCAGAACGGCAGAACGGCAGAACGGGAGAACGTTAGAACGGGAGAACGGCAGAACGGCAGAACGGGAGAATGGGAGAACGGGAGAACGGGAGAACGGGAGAACGGGAGAACGGGAGAACGGGAGAACGGGAGAACGGGGAACGGGGAACGGGGGATGTTGGGGGATCACATGATCTTAAGGGGGAGCAGAAGGGGGATCAGTCTGTTGTGGAAGTGAACTTCTTTCTTTTTCACCTTTGCCATTCCAGGCTCCCACCTTTTATTCTGATGTTTGGCCAATTTTTGCATTGAAAGCATTATTTCTTGTCACCTATCTCTCATTTTATGTCCTTTCTTCTCTTTTGTTGCTTTGTTTCTCTTTTTGAGATGACATCCTGTTTTCTTACCTCATGTAATGACCAT